ACTTTGTCCAAGATATCATTGGGATGAATCAACCGCTCAATGTCCTGAAATATTTTTGACCTGGAAACAAACAAGTAAAACTTTAATAAAAAACATCATTCAGAAATTAAATAAAACTTCAAATAAAGTAAAATTAAAAATTCAAGTTGTTGAAGAACAAAACTGATCAAATGTCAATATAGATTTCACAAGTTACTGATTACTGTACACAATAAGATTTATTTATTTGTTCCTAAATGTCTTTCTAACCCCTGGAACAGATGCCTCACCTTTGTACACCATAAAGTCTCTCTAGAAGAGGCTCCTTAAACGTTGGGGCCACATGACCAAAATAATCTGGGTAAGCCACTTCGGCGTACTGAGGGACAGAACGTGTCGCCTTCACCATCTCCACGTAAAGGTCAAGATCGTGCAGGGGGAGGAGTCGAGACGTGTCGGGCACTTCAAGAACAGCCCCTTCCCCCGACTCGTCCTCACCCCCCTCTGAGCCACAGTCTGAACCCCAGCTGCTGCYGCCTCCTCCCACACGACGGCTTGGAATGCCCCCCAGGAGCAAAGGTGACTGTATGTGCCTCGTCGAGTTGACTGGAGACCCTTCTCGTTTCACCCTCTCTGATCCATCCTCTGCTTTCATGTTGTCCTCTAAAGAGACACATTCCAATGGACGTGCAAGATCCTGTTCAATCACATGAGCCTGAGATRGAGACCTGCAGGAGGAGGGAAAAGTGACATCCCCATCTGGACATGGAGTGTTAGCTTGCTCTTTTTCATCTTTATCCTTGTTGATATGGATTGAATCCAGGTCTAAAGGTGTTTGAGAAGCAGATGGGGTAGAAGTGGGCGCAGAGGGATACAGCTGAGTCGGATGTCCTTTGGCAGGGTTGCAGTCCTCACTAGAGCTTGGTGAGAGGGATTGAGCTGTGGGTACTACGATTGGCCGAGTGAGACGAGAAGATGCGGATGAGAGGGAGGCAGCAGATGATGTGACTGAAGCACTCTTTGAGGAGTGAAAATCATACTCCTAAAGAAATAACGCAAGTTGTCAAAACAAAAAACTGCCCATGAGCCAATGATATTTTCCACAACCTGATGAACAAGTTTCTTAAGCACAACAACTGGAGCTGATAATCATCTGTGACAAGTGAAACAGATTTTCATAGATGCTTACCTGAAAGTCTTCAGTCAGCTCTAAGAAAAATCTCTTATAAACCTTCAGCTCCTCATATGAACGTGTGATGATCCTTTTAGGATGAAGCTTGTTCAGGTCTGTTTCTATGTCATCATTCTGTTCAAAAGAACATAAAAAATGAAGCAAAACCTTAAGGTTAGCAATTCTGTTGAAAGACATGGTTGGCAAATGTTTAAAGGTTTTGTGGCAGCTGAAATGTGACCGTCCTCTACTGGAAACTAGAAGAAGTGCAAATATGAGTAAACAGTCCATAATCAAGACAATTAGAACTCCTCTCAGGGCTCCTCTGATTTAATCAACACGAGTAATGTCACAAAGGAGAAACACCATTTATGTTTAACTGCTATTGTTAAAATATTTACAGTGATATGTGCCGATTACCAGACTGCACTGATCCTTCTCATCGTCGTCGTTCTCTGTGTCTGCATCAGCTTCTGGCTCCTCGTTATCATCGCTGTCATCCGCCACATCGTCCACTGAGCACAGCACACACACACACACACACACACACACACACACACACACACACACACAC